ACTGCTTTTGTTGGTGCCTCGCTGCAGTACGTTTCTTCTTCTTCTTCACTGCTTTTGTTGGTGCCTCGCTGCAGTACGTTTTTTCTTCTTCTTCACTGCTTTTGTTGGTGCCTCGCTGCAGTACGTTTCTTCTTCACTGCTTTTGTTGGTGCCTTGCTGCAGTACGTTTCTTGCTGTATTACTGCTGCCAACAGTCGATCAACGGAATACCATGCGTAGCACTTCATAAAAACAAAACATTACTCAAAAGCGCTACTAGCGGTGAAAAACTCCACGGGGTACCTTTAAGTGAATTTGTTTTTGTTAAGTTACATTATTTGTGCACTGGTTTGATAAGATCTAGTCCGGTATCTTAAGTTTTAAAGGTCGAAGAGGCTCGAAATCTTCTCAAGTGTCGTCTCCTTCGTTTTCAGGAAATAGTTAACATCTAAATTAAGTTCAAACTAATTTACCAGTGGTAAACCTACAGTGACCTACAGCAGCGAGCCAATATCGCAATGTTTACACATGAAGCGTGACAGGTGTACTGACGGGGGGCCATCTGTGAGGCTGTGTTGTGTCCACACCATGCAGTGACCCAGAACACAATGTCCTGCTTTTGTGTGACGCGTAAATAAACTGAACAGAGTAGCATTACCCTACAACAGTGTACTAACAATTGACAAGTTAATGATAAATTTAGCATTTTATCATCTCATTTAAAAAGTAGGTTTTGTCATGTAATGTGAATAAAATGCCTGGGGATGGATGGATGAGACAATGGTGGCCCAGAGACCATCATATCATACTGGGCCATGTTGTGCTGCTCTTGGACAAACCGGGACTGCTATTCCTGTTCCCACATACTCCGATACACAGCAGTGTCCAATGCCAAGATGGCAGCATTCACCCAACCTGCTGACACATTTGCAGCAGCTCCATCATTGGCAAAGCGGCGCACACAACCAAAGGGGATCTGCTTCATTTCCTGTAGAGTAGGAAGCGACCGGGGGGCTGGGCTGAGGACATCGAGAACTATGCAACACCTCCTTTATCACCACCACCACTGGCATGTCTGTGTGTCTGTGTGTGTGTGTGTGTGTGTGTGTGTGTGTGTGTGTGGTGGGCGTTTATGTATGGTAATTCTGTGCATGTGGACAGCTGGTGTTTGTTTGCGTTTTCATCTGAAGAAAATGGGATTTCAGGGAGGCGAAGACAGAGATGGCCGCAGAGCCAAACCCTCTTTCAAAAAGGTTCTCTCGCTTCATCTCCTCAATTTTGGCTTTCATCTCTGGCACTTCTTCAAAAAAAACATCAAAACATAAGACCGACTTTTTAGTTCTCCAATACACACACCGACAGAGAGAGAGAGAGAGAGAGAGAGAGAGAGAGAGAGAGAGACAGAGACAGAGACAGAGAGAGACTTTGTCGTCTGGCTGGGTGACTGTATTCAATCTGCCTGGCTGAGGGGTAGCCAAGCGAGAGATTATGATGCAGCCATCTTCCCACTGTCATTAATAAACACACGGCTCTGGTGTCTCTAGGGCGCGCACACACACACGCGCACTATAGGTCTTTATCAGGAGGCCAAATGATCATTTGTGTAGGCCCCTCCCTTTGAACAATGTCATATTCAATCAACTGCAGAGCCAATATTCCCACACTGCAGTAAACCATGCCGATTAGGTTGACATACAATATTTATTAAGGTTCACAAAAATGATAAGTTAATTATCAGGTAGTCCACAAATATTGTGGGAATGGTCTCATACAGCCATACAAGTGGGGAAACATACATGAGAAACCATTTAGGAACAGGCCCACCCAGAAACGCTCTGATCTAACCAAATAAAGTATGAAGCATGGGAAAGGATGAACTCGAACATTAGTTTAGTCTAAATAATAAAAAGGAAGCTGCTTGTTCATTGTTAATTATATCTATAATTTCCCCATTTCTTTGGAAAAAAAAAGGCCCTCAGCTATTCAAAATATCTCTTCTTACACGCCCTTCTTGTATCAAATGAAAAAATGATCCAAACAGGAAAAACTAAGAGGGGCAGACCTAGTATTAAAAATATTGCCAAACATCAGGGCCATTCTTAATTGTTGAAAAAGAACCCTCTGCAGTACGGTATATCTGACGTAGTCTAAGGTGGGCTTCCCCCAAAGCTGCCCCCCTCCACACATTGTTGTTTCTCATATCCAACAAGACACTTTGTCCATTTTTGCCTTTACATACAGTGAGACACTGCTGATTTGACCGTTTGCATCTATATTAGCTTTGAGAATGAGACTCACATCCCCCCCCCCAATACACATCTCAACCTCATGTATGTTTTCTACAAAAGAAGTTACATGTTATGAACACATCATGCAAAGTGGCAATTCTGTTTACAAAGATGGAGTAGTCGTGTTTTTGTCTTTTAAATCTGGAGCCGTTTTAGCTGTGTTTGATTCACTCTTTCCAAACAAAATAATTAAAAAAATCAACCTGAAGTCCCACCCATTTTCAAAGCCACCTCCCCTCAACCTGTTAACAAAAACAGAATTAGCATTATAAACAATATTATATAAACCATGATTTCTCATTTTTCTTGTGAAAAAAAAAAGTATACAGTGGACAGTTGTTGTCTGAGTCCAGGTTTAAAACTGTGTCAGGAAAAGTTGCTAAGATCAGTGAGCATAAACCAGAGTGGCTGCTGCCTTTAAGAAAGAAACCTTTAAAAACATGTCCTGTGGCAGCAACAGTTGGTTTTTTACAAGAATCCCTGATTGGCTGAAAGAAGTCAGGTGACCACCAGGTGAGGTAAGAAAAGTCCCACCTTTGACGATGGGAATGACAGTATAGAGGCGTTTCCTCTAAACACTAATGTGTGTATTTGGGTTTGTGTGTGTATATATGTATATATATATATATGTGTGTGTATATATACATATATATATACACATATATATGTGTGTGTATGCATTTTTGATTACAAACTAATTACCCGCTCACATGCGTACACACTTACACTTAGGTGTGTGTTGATTTTCGAGTCGATCTCAAACACTACGTTGCAAGTTCCTCTCTCTTCATGCAGGACAGAAAGTTACAGAAACACAGAACGCCAGTGGCGAAAAAACACCGGCTGAAAAGATGAAAAAAAAAAAACCTAAACAGAAACTTAGGTTTGCTGCCTTGAATGTCCTTGAACATCACATAGAATCCTTGGGCGTGACAATTATTATTGTTTTTTTTTAAGTTTTTTTTTTTCAATAATATTTTCTTATCTATGCATTTACTTAGGAAAAGCTAACAAAGATTTCAGTTGCTCTCTTATTACTATGTGTGTGCGTATCTTTTGTCTTAATATATATATTTGTATCAACATTTGCATTGGTTTTCTCCTCTTCTTAATTTGTCCACGTTGAGTTTTCTTGGTTTACGTAGTTTCCATCTCTTTCCATATCCATCCGTCTTTAGGGGAAAAAGACCAAAACCCATTTCTACCCATCATCATCTCCCACCCGCCTGGCTTTCATTTCCCCTCCTCCCTCCCTCCCTCGGGTGGAAAGGGCGGGGGGGGCTTTTCAGTCCCGTGCTGCCCTTCATCTCTCGGCCTCCATCGCTACGCTAGCCTTTTGCTCGGTGCCTGCGCGCGGGTTCACGCCCATGGGCCAAGCGGGGCAGGGCTGCCTGAGGGGCTGCCCCCGAGTCCAGAGTCCCTGTGGAGGTTGCGGCACATTAGGTACGTTTGGTGAGACCCCCCAGCAGCCAACCTGGGGGGGCGGGGGTGAGGTGGCCATGGAGGCGGCCATGGGACTGCCGCCGCTGCCGCTGTTAAAGCTCTCGGACGCCTTCAGCCTGGAGAACATGGTCAAGGCGTCGGGGAAGTTGGGCGGCGTCGCTGGTGTGTTGGCCGGGGTGCACATCTGAGAACGACAAAGGGAAAGAGAATAAGTATTGCATGCTCTAAAAATACATTCTACACACTTTTCATTCATTGGTTCCAGCTTCTCAAATGTGAATACTGGCGAGTTTTCTTATGATAATAACTTGAAAATATATAGTGAACCAGCTGCTTTCGGCGGTGGGTTATAGTGGGCTTGAAGTATAACGGAGACAAATGCAACTTGTCTTGTAGCTGCAACACATTATGTTTCACTGAGACAATTATCAGTTGAGAAATTGGTATCTTTTTGTCTTCTATAATGGATTTCTTCCAGTAGGACGGTTTCACTGTAAAATTGTGAGGCTATAAAGACGCTTGTGCTCTTTTATAACAACAGAATAACACCAAACTCTAATGCTGCTGTAGTGGACAAAAACGATGTTGTTCTGTTGACAATGGCAAGTTATCTTCATGGAAAATGTGCATATGCCACAAACTCTATTCATTCAACAATGTACATCATGGGGTTCACCATAAAAGGGAGTTTTAAGCAATGTTTAAAAAAAAAAAAGCGGATATCACTTTAAAAGGAAGCAAACTGTTTTGTATAACGGAAGGGGAATTTAGGGGAATCCCAGGTACTCTGCCTCCCCAGAGGGTCCTTTGTTTACATCCACTTCCTGTTCCAACTGTTATATGGCATCCAATCTGATTTAACAGACCAGATAAATTTGTTCAGACTGAGAATAACAGCGAATCTTGATTTCTGGACACATACACACACCAAGTCTCCTTGGCCTGTATACACCTCCTCTGCTCTAACCCAGCATTGTTATTGCTCTGCTGCCAGGAGTTCCTTTAGTGGCGTCCTGAGCGCGCACACGCACACGCACACACACACACACACACACACACACGGCCAAAAACAACACTGAACGTACCAGGTTGCAGTTAATAGACCATGTGAATAACATGTTTGGCTACTCAGAAACATCTAGCCTTCGTCCTCATCCTCACTAAAACCACTTCTCACACACGCTGCTCCGTCGCCTGCTTCCTATATGTCCCAGTCCATTTGTCAGCAGGAAAACAACAACCTCCTGTACTCCATAGGGAAGCAGAGGTGGAGCCATGCTTTAACCAGGAGGCTTGTCATCTAAATATAAATTGCCTGGGCTGAGAGGTTAACAGGGCAGGCTCCTACACAACAAAGTTGCCCTAAATCCCCAGGCCACAACAATGGAAGAAAACAGCGCGGAAACTCCCAGGATTATGTAAGACCAAAAAAAAAAAATTTACTTATTCAAGTACAACTGGCACTACAGAATCTGAGCTTGCATTCATATTACATCAAATTAATTAACCATCTATTGTGCAGTTTGTATGCACTGTAACAATGTCCAGATAACATGTTGTACAGATTCAGGTTGAATACAAGATGGTTTGTTTCAGGGCAGGACTTTCTGGAATTGGGAGTCATAGCTTCCATGAATCAACTATGAGGAGCAGCAGCTGCAGTCACACATGAGCACTGGACAAAAAAATGTTTTTCTTACTGACAACCAGAACTCTGAAGGCTGACCTCTGGAGTCCAAATGCCTCATTTCCATCTCCATTTTGTTTTCCACTGTGGATGGTTGCCCCTGAGTGTAGGCGAGATTCTGAGCTGATGATGGACGATGCCACGTGTAATTTGCCGTGGTATAATTTTCGACGAGACACTCAAAGAATCCTCTCATCGGCAACCATGCAGAGAAACTTCTGCTTCTTTAGTAGATAACGCAGTGGAAATGTGGCATAATCAACCCTGGATGCTCAGATTGTGACACACAGCCTTAGCACACAACAGCCTGGAGAAAAACAACAGTGGGACAGGAACACCATTCCTCCCTTGGGGGTTGTAATCAGACCGCTATGCCCCCTAAAAGTGCTGCGCCATGCGATTAGTCCTCTGAATATACAGTACAGTGTGGAGCCAATCTGGTCTGCGTCAGGCCGAGTAAGGGGTTCTCAGAGTGGCACGCTGTTATGAAAGGTGAGTGTGTCCACCGTGCATGCCGACAGGAAGCGCTGGCTCATGTCTCGGAGGCTGTTTCCTGCTGTAAGACAGACACCCGAGAAGGCTGAAGTGACCTCTGTGACTCTTTCGCTTCTTGGCGAGCAGCGGAGGAAGCTGCCGTTTGGGTTTCCTAACCCTGGAGACCAGTTAAGGGTCCGCGTGACTGGCACTCGGGTAGAAACCTATACATGAGGCCACCTGCCTCCGTGCTTACTGTCCAGGAATGGAAAACGCTGACATGTGACCTTTCACGTTGATGTCTGACTTACTCATCTATGAACTACACCGATGAGCAGATATAAATATACACCTGCAGTCTGCTAAGAGACTATACATCTCACATGTTTGGGCTTTTGCTTCATACTTAACAGGAAAGATGTGAGGAGGCTGTCGACAAAACGAACTTCAAACACCATGTTTGCGTCTCGCAATTGCCCACACACATTAAATAACACTACACACCTCCAAGTGTCGGCATGTGAGTGTGTGTGTGTGTGTGTGTGTGTGTGTGTCTTTGCAGGGGACCTTGGACAGAGTCAGATACGCAGACGGTATGGACTTACAGGGAAGAGGATCTGGTCCAAAGACACAGCGGCTGTTTGAGTTTCTGAGTCAACGGACCTCAGACCTTTCAGCATGCAATTAATGATGATCCACATATGTGGAATATGTAGTCTGCCGTTTTTACAAACCAAAGCATGTGACCGGTGTATTGCATTGTAAGTAGAAACTCCACACGGTTTCCTGCACAGATTAAAACCTGGTGCAGCATACTGAGGAAGCAGGTTACGGTGTGTTTTCCGTATTAAGCGGCCTCGTGGCAGATAGAGACCAGTGCTTAAAGACCGCGGCTCAAATCCAATTGGCTGTTGGACAACTGATGTGCACGTAGGCTGCAACCGTGGACTTATAAAGAGAACTGGAAACAGTGTTGGAGGCAAGGCCCCTTTAATATGAAGGTTGCTCAATGGAGCAAAACAAAAATGGACTTCCTGGTATAAGATTAAGATAAAATGACCCAGATCTTCTGGTGATTCTCCTCATCCATAGAGGAGGGGAAATAACTGTGGATTCAGCTATGAGTGAATTACTTTCAACTTTTAGGACCTAATGATTCAAGTGTTCTTATTGTGAAGTTAGGTTACCTAAAAAAATACTGATTTACATGTGTATTGTTCCCAATGTGTGTCTATGGAATAGTCTCTTTGGGCCCCATGGCATCATGTGACGGACCCGGAAATTGTAATTCCTCGGTTTGGCCACTATGTGTAATCTGCTTCAAAGCCCGGCGCTCTTCCTGAGGGCTTGGCTGCAACAAGAGTTAATATTTAATTTGAGAAAAATCAATTCCTGTGTGCACATGTACACACACACACACACACACACACACACACACACACACGTTACGTGTGTCTACAGAAGGTTTGCAGCTCTGTCACACGATTGCCACTGATACGCATTGTGAACCATGTGAGGTTCAATAGAAGACACGTGTAGCTCAGTTATGGAACGGGTCACATGATTTGGAAGGAGGCAGGTTGACAAGGAGCAGATTTATTAGGGACCGATAAAGAAATGGGGATTTTGTTCCATGTGGTGTCTACATGGAATAGATAATAAGTTTCATTTTATGTTCTTACTGGTTTCATAAATATGAATGATGTACAATGACTGAGTTGGCTGTCAAGTTATTAATATATAATTTCAAAGTATACATATTGTGTTGTAACTGATCTGAACTAATCCTATGTAGTTCTTACATGGAAATAAAACTATAAAACTGTGCAGGAAACTACATCTGACTCCATCATGAACAATCAGCATTGTGCAATATTGGCTAAATATACAGCGACTGGGCCAGAAAGAAGAACAAAGCAATAGATGTAACTACTGTTCATTCTGTGGGTGCATGCGAGTTCAGTACTGCTCAGAGACGATGCGAGAGGTCTGGTGAGGTGAACCCGTTTTCAAAGTGAGGGTACTGTGACACAGCTAATCGACGAGTCGTCATCTGAGAGGAGTCTGCTCAAATGGCCGTCTGTAGGAATCGTTAGCTAGTTAACAATCCAGCAGGACGTCTATCTTTTAGTAACAGACAGCGAGAGACGGTTTGTGTTCACAACAGAGCCAACGGAGAGGGATCACCATGGCGACTGTTGCTATGAGGAAGCAGTACAGATCTCCTGTTGACGGGACGGGGCCGAGGCGGGACGAGCTCTAAGGTCACAGAGTCCACACACCTTAAACACTCCTCCGTTTGTGTACATACGTATGTGTGTGTGTGTGTGTGTGTGTGTGTGTGTGTGTGTGTGTGTTTGTCCACAAACACAGATGAGCTGCTGTTATTTCCAGTCTAACCGACCACATTCCTCAGAAATATCCAGAGTGTGTGTATGTGGCGGACTGAAAAGAGAAGCTTTGAGGGTCCAGTTACGTCCCGTGACCCCGACCGACCTCCTCCATGCGATGTTTACCTCGGTGCTCCGACACCTCGTTACAAACGTTGATCTCACTTTAACCTCTCAGGATGTTTCTGCCCGGCTGTCACAGGAAGTCCACATTTTGCAATAAATAAAAATGTGATCTGCTCGTTTCCATTTACGTCATTGGAGCAAATAACCCGACATCCTTAGAGACCAAAAATGTAAAATTCAAGTAATACTGAGCAAGCTAGTGTTGGGCATTTATCTAATATTTCACAACGTCCAAAAGCCAAATCTGGCCCAAACATGCATCAATACCTAGTTTGTCTATTTGCCTAATTTGTTTTTGACAACGTGGGTACGTTTGATCCGACATTGCTGCACACGATTGTTAGTTCTATCCATCACAGTTTGCATAACAATACTCATGATGGGAACCAAATCTCTTCCGCTCACCATTCCCTCTCCTGTGAGCATTACTATGAACCTACAACATGTCGGTTTTCTCTCCCTTTCTCTCACCTCCCACTCCGTCTACCTCTCCCTCCAGTATGTAGC